GTATTAATGCAATTGTACCTGAAACTCGATCAACCACTTCGATTAGTTATTCCACCTTTGAAGTTCGATTACATTCCCGGAGACGTGAAAATTTTATCAAGCCCCGAATACGCGTTTCCGTCGGCTCCGAATCCTGCACTCCAAAATCCTATTTGCCACAGACGTCATGAATTTGACTGAGGAGAAGTCGTTGTAAAAGAAATTAATAATAAATAAAAAAATCAATGTTGGCAACTTGGAATTATGGAGTCGTGTACATTGAATCGTTAAATTTTGGGGAGTGGGTGGTGAACCAATGGACCACACCAGAGGATCAAAAGCCGTTGTGAAGCGTTTGGCTATCCGGTGGTATCTTCTCGGGCATCTGGCGTCAGGGTGAATAAATATAGATCAGGAGTCAGGTGTAACCTTGGGCCAATTCAATTTTCCACCTCAGGGCTGAGGGATTTTCTGAAGTTATCCTGGGAGAACTTATCTCTCACATTTTTCCATTTTCCATGGAATTCGGCCGTTTTTCTGTGTCATGTTGCACAATCCTGCTATTTGCAGATGCTTCACTTGCTGAAGGTGTTTACTCTGGTCACTGGTACTCCAACCCTGATTTTTTTTGGAATCTTCATCTTTTTCTGAATCTCTTGAGTTTAATTAAATTTATTTCATATTTCTCTGCTAAAAGTGCAATTACACATTTTATTCACTTCGTATAATTGTTTTGTTTTTCATTCACAACTAGTTTTCATCCTCCGCTTTGAATAAAAAATTAAATTCCTGTCATTCCAACCTTCACGAGAACCAAAACCAATTCATCAGATTGAGTTTTTTTTTTGCTCTGATAATAATGTTTCGGGATATATATCTCTATATTTATATTCATATTCGCTGAAGTTTATTTTGATATGTTCGAGATACGGATTAATCATCTCCAACGAATCGTATTAATCGTGTGGGATGGGTGGACGTGGGCGGAGTTCTTTCGTAAAAGCTATTAATTCCGTGTTAATTGTACGAAAGTGAGAGGATATATTCATACGTTGCATGTTGTGTCATATTTTACTTGGAAAAGTGTGTTGATAGAGAACGGGGGTGTACGAACTCCACCTGCTTTGCCCCTCTTCTCTCACAACTTCTCCAGAAAGACGTGTTTGTATCTACGTTGAGTTAATTCTGTACGTTATACTTCCGCTTTACTGTGCCAGCTGCGAATTTTTCGACACCACGTGCTGCATTCATGTTTGCATATTTCAATTTGAAAAACAACGATTTTTTGGCGGTCTCGTAGGCTAGGGAATTACGGAATCAATTCACTGATCAAACTATCGAATTTTCTGTGACGAATTGAATTTTTTGAATAATTCATGTTTCATGAATATCTTATTGTCTTCAGGTTAGGACAATACTCGATTATTAAACAATTATTAAAAGAATAGTTATGAATTTAATTCTAGACATGGGGATAATTGATATGGAAAATTTCGCGGAGTTATACAAATTTTTCTAGATGAAATACTTCGGGGTCTTTTGGTTTAGCTTTTTTTCGTTGAATTTAGTGAGAAATTTTCTGACTTTTCGTGTCCCATTGACACTTGAAACCCTCAATACTTCATCTCTTCCAATCTATTTATTTCTTGGGAGTCACGTTCTAGTTATGAAAGGGAATTCACCCTCTGGAGGGCGTCACTGGGGTGAAATTCGTCAGTGTAGCTCCATTGGTGTGCAGAGACACTGAAAAAATAGACGTGGGAGGAATGATAGATGTGGGATGAATTCAGTCATGGGGATTTTGACTGACTTCAGAGCTTCTGGCCATGTCAACCTCTTGCTCATGATTTGCTTTTTTTGCATGATTTGCTGATGATGAGTCATTCCTGAATTGAAACCGAAATATTATGAAGTCTTTCAATGAAGACCATGAAATTACATGTTGAAATGAGAAAATAATTATCGTAACTATATTATTTAATTATCATAGCTCATTTTAATTGTTCACACAATTTTCGCCAATTTCGATATTCTTCATATAGTAGACTGGACAAACTATAAATATAACTTCCCTTTCATTTTTCATTAAAAAATCCGACAGCAGATGGCAAAAAGCGAAATCCCTCGGCATTGGAAATTTTTTATGAAGATCGATCACCCTTGAAATACGAGGGTACAATTTTCGAGGCTTTATCCAACACTTGTTCAGTTGGTTTTCGGTCAATTTATAATCTTGTCGTGAATCATGGTGTAGTTCCCAGAAGTGAGGGGAACGCTCGTGAATATGAATGATTTTCTGGGTGAAAACTGTCGAGTTTGAATCTCCCAAAAGTCGACTCCAACGTATTTATCTCACTCTCGTGCTCCACCAAGCCAATCTTCCCTACACTTTCAGCACTACTTCCAGGGAATGCCGTCAACTTGGAGGTCGTGATGGGGTTTGCCGAGCCAAGCGGAAAGTCACAGTCACTCGTGATATCGCGGCAGGAAGTTGAAGACTGGCGCGAGTGTTGTTGCCTCTTTGGGTGCACATTTATTTATTTTTTTTTCTTTTTTTTTACCGTCTATCGCCCGGGTTTTGTGGCGGTTATGTATGGTAGATAAATAGGAAATTGTCGGTTTTTTTTTATGCGTGACACACGTGGAGGTTCGTATCGTGGTTTCAGAGGAAACTCGTGGCGATAAGAGAAATCAGTCTATTTTTAAAAATACGAGAATAACGTCGAGGAAAAACTGCGTCTGGTAAATTCTCCAAATTCGAAGAACAAAAAAATTAACTGCGCAATTAACAATTTTTTTCCTTTTCTTAATGAAAATATCAAGGGCAACTAATTATTAATTCAATTATCTCCTGATTATCAGCAGAAATCACATTAATACAAACAATTAGATGGGAGAAATAGCCAATGAGATATTAATAAATATAAAAAATAACAAATATTTTCTAATCGTTACGTTCAATAAGCAACTCATGTCTCATTATCTCCCGGGTAATTTCCAAAATGTCGAAATAATCTCGGCGAGTTAACAAAAACACTAGGCACAGAAGCGATATCTTTCCCAAGCACTCGGCAAACTCTCGCCAAATACCAGAAACCCCCTCCCAAAATAATCAAGCCCCCGGAAACTTCCGCAAGACACACATCATTATCACTGAAGATGGAGGGAAACCGGCTGCAACGAATAGTCAACTTCTCCCATGTTATTGCTGATGCAAACGCAGTAGGAATAACATCCACTAGGGTCTCAACACCCACCAAAATGTCCACCAAACTCCCAGCTCCTTTGTTAGTTGTAGAAACATTTCGGGGAATCCCCCGGAGGCCCTCGACCACTGGCTCCCTCTGTCCCTCGACAATATTGTACCAACTGTTGGTGGATGAGAGCTAAATGAACTGATACCAAATGGCAACAGAGGCACAGTTGTTTCCTCTGGTGTTCCTCTCACCCTCATTATCACTGAAATTCTCCTTCGCCTGATATGCCCGCCGGATATAGGTACCCTCGTCATTAATGAGTGCTCAGACGCTGTGTTTCACGTACAGAAACTGGTGAAGGCGGCTGTTGTCGTACGGATATTCATACCTCTGTGCGGCGGAATTTACGGATAGGAGGAATATTGCCTCGGGAGACGACAACAAATGCTACCCTCAGGTAGATGTTCCGGTAGCTCTACAGATTACAGCTTTCGGGGGGATATAACCCGACGTCTTCAGGGACTGGCGTTTAATTAAATTAGTGGTATTTCCACCTTTCGCCAAATATTTTTGATACTGCGCTATTATCACAATCCAATATTGAGGAATATATTAAGATCTCTTAAAGACTTTTTCATTTCTCCATCGAGGGAAATCGTGGGCTCAACGGTTGCCCATATGATACCTCCCCAGAGCATTAACTGCAATTAACGAACACGTGTGTTCACCGGGTAATTTTCGGCCCGGTAAACTTCGGTAATTACCTAATTACTCGACTACGGTTTATCGCAGTTGTACCTGGCGTCGGTTGTTTCCGGGGTTCACAAAAAAGAGATATCCGAGGATGAGCTTGAGAGGCTCTTTCTTGTGGACAATGTCTTCTTCTCGGATATTCAATTATATCAATGTCTCGGTGTTCGGTATCACAGGGAGAGTAAAAACAAACTGTCATATGGGTTCGACTGCCTCGGAACAATCCGGTGTCTATTACACCGGAAGTCTCACCCGACCGGTCGCTTCCGTTAATCGAGATATCGTGTTCGCCAATCGATCCATCCGAAGGGGATATTTAACAAACTTTTTCAATTACTTCGTTGGGTAAAAACCCCTGAAATTTCACCCTTCAACGACCACTGCCGGTGAGAAGTCCGGAAATTACACTTTTTTCGCTTACGAATCATTCACGTTAATTAGTTGACATTCGGTTGAAAATTATAAGGCATTTTTATTTGATTTAAAAAAGTTTTGATGAATATGTGGACAACGGGTATGAATCTATTCTGTGGTTTTCTGGGTAAATTCTGGGTTTTTTTTCGGAATATTTTGCAAGATTAAAATATATCCGCGTGGAATTCCCTCGGGGAAATTCCTCCACGTGGTCTTGCCACTTTCGTATCATCAATTATCATGAGAATACTGCGGTGAGAATTGTCGACTGCATCCCAGTCCCCATTGAGTTTATAACAGCCTCATTTGACGCCGTTAAATGCACGTCTGTGGTACATACATCATCAAATAAATTTGCCGCTTGATGCATTGCTTTCGTATTTATTTTTCCACTTATTTACATCATCGTTCGTCTCTCAACCGTGAAAAAAAAAATGATTGAGTCGCTGGAAAAATTGTGCCTGGGGATTATTTACGACTCTATCTCCTCCGTTAATTGCCTTCAGTTGGGCACAATTTAATACCGTTGTAATTGATATTTATTGTTGCTATAAATCAATAATTCTCACGTGATGACATCTATCTCGATTCGCCTAAATTCATTGTTAAATCCTTTAAAAGATCATATTTATTTATTTATTTATTTATTTGTTGCAGGTGAGTTTCTTCGTGATCCGACACTGAAGAGCTTGACGTATTTAAACATCAAATTGACACACGTACAGAAATACAGTACATACATAACAATAATAAACACGAGGGAGTGGAAAGTTGGTGGAGGAGTTTGTTGAAAAAGGTAAGATTTGATGAGGGAATCGCTCATTAATCATGGAATTAATTACGATAGTCTGTTATCGGTTTTGTGGAGTTGACAGGTATCGTAAAACGTTGCGTGCTGACTTTTGCGGAAGTTGGGGATTTTCACTCCGGGAATTTATTAATCTTAGCGGTTGTGACCTCAAATGGGTTGAGCCTCTGGAGGGATGTAAAAGCTTTTGCCGTTTGTCGTGGGGGTATGGGTTTTTGCGGGAATACAATTGCATATTCCTTCCGCGAGGGGAATTCCTCTCAAAGGAAAATTGCATTCTATTTTTCCAGCGCTCGTTTTAATTTTATTATCCTTCAAGAGCTTCCGCATCTTTCACTGAGAGTACTATTACATTTTCGGTAATATTTTATTTAGTGGGAATAATTTTTAGGATTGTCCGCATTTTACAACTATTTTTTGTTCAATTCAATTGTATTTCCCGCGAAATTTTCGCAGTCATTTTTCATCGACGTATCAAGTCAAAAAATTCCTTTGATAGAAATAAACTTTCCGTCACAGGAGAGCATAATTTCTCCACCAAAAATTTTCTACCGCTTTATTTTTAGCGTCAACCGGGGCTTTTGCCCTGGGGTAATTCCGCGTTAATTAAAAACAAATGTCTGGAAATTTGATAGACCGCGGTAAATGAGCTGTGACCATCAAAGAGTGCAACAAAACTGTAAAAAAATACCCAGATACCGTTTTTGGAAGGGAATCGGCGCCTAGTTTGTATCGAAAATATTTAATTGTACTTCCAGTTATTTAATCATCATGGGGGAATTCGGATTTAATTTTTGAGGGACGAGGGATAAAATTATTCAGGTGCTTTGATCACGGGTGTGGTTGACGTGGTGCCAATTAATTCTGAAACTAACTCAGGCAAACTCGCAGACGCGCTTATCGCCTTGGGGACACGGGGTTTGGGTGGTTTGAGGGGGAGGGGGAGGGGGAGGGAGGTGGAAAATGCATGTGGATATGTGCGGCAAAATTAATCGTTGTCTCGTGTGCAGCGGTGGTGCACTTTGCGGCATCGCCCCAAGGTGGTACTTCGATTTATATCACGTGGGGCTGAACTCCATTCCTTTTTGCGCGTTATATTATCACGAGATTGGGAAAATGAGCTTTAATCTACCATGAATTTGCCACCCCTTCACGAAACTTCCACCGGATTTACCCCAGAATAATTCTAAATCGGTTGACAGACTTTTTCTTGCCTCTAAAGTAATTGGTTTTGGATTAATTCTCGCGTTATAGAGAGATTGAGATTCGAGAAGTTTCGGTTATCTTCGGATTTGAAACGCGTGGGAATTGCGTGGAGATAATTAAAGTTCTCGTTCTTTTCAATGAGGCACTCCATAAAATTTCATTGCACTCTCTTCCCCTCTCTAGTCATAAAAAATCCCGAACTCACACCCATAAATTGCCAATGTAATTTCGAAAATACTGGCTGAGCAGTAAAATACATTAGAATGCTAAATGAAAATCTCTCCAATGCTACCCTCAGAAAACTTTATGACGTGAATTAAAAACGTCAGGTTTAATTTATCGTTAATTAAACTGTTGGGGATTAAGGGGAAAATGAGAATTTAAGCGGGAAGCCTGTAGTAGATAAGAAAATTCAAAAGAAGACGGATGGAGTTTTTGGGTGGAAGAGGAGGATATGGAGGAGGAGGAATTTGTAGTTGAAACGAATTAAGGTGGGGTAAAGTACATTCTTGAAATTTTCCCTACCGTTGAAATGAAAACTAGGGGGATATTTGTCTCCGTTGGGCGGTAATTACGTGACCAATTTACTCGGGGGAATATCTTAACTCTAGTTGCTTTCAGGGAAAAACAAGTGGTCTTGTGAGGCTTTGGGGTTTGGTATTGTGGACAGGTTTCGACAGATTGTTTTGATGGGAAGAAGAGCTGGATCTTCTGAAACTATCCTACAATCTTCATTCAGGCTTCCAACAGCAAATAATTCACAAGCAAGAACCATTTGTGGGAAACAATCAGACAAATAAACAGAGAGCCATTTTTTTCGGAAAATCTGTCTTCGAAATCTACCACCGACATCTGTAAATTAACCCTCGAATATTTAATGTTACTCTGGGGAATGGGAAAAATTGGAGGCTTTTCAAGTGAATTATTTTCCCCGGGCTGGGAATAATATCCGATGTCAGTCATACTTCATGCCCCACACAAACTAGCGTGCAGAGCTCTCCAAACTGACCAGTCTATCCTCCCATTTTCACCCTCTCACCCACGAATTTTATCTCCTCTTGCATCCTCCACTGTTCACCACTGGACAGAATACCAGCATCATCGCCACAGCTGCAGGCTTCTTGAATCAAACTCCCTTTACTCCTCAATCATAAAATTCTCCGGATTTTTCATACCAAAACACGAACGCGAGAAAATTGTTTTCGTGGGAAATTGCACGAAAATTTGTTTTCTATAAAACTGTTATGTTTCATGCTTGGGCTTGCTGATAACCATCTGCAAAGGAGCTAGTGTGTACCGCAGTGTATAGTACACTGTATACTCTTCCTCCCTCTCCTTACTCTCTTGGTTAAATCTTTTTCACGTGTTATTCCAAGGCTGACGTTGAATTTCCCACGCATTCAACCGTCGCACCAAGAAATTCTTCCGGGGCATTCTACCAACTGTTATTATTATCGTGAGTTCGTATATTCTTTTACGCACTCGATTATCCTTATATTCTCTCACTCTTTTTCATCCGTCCGTCTCGAAATTGAAGAAAAAGGATTTACGAAGAGAAAAAATTTATGATCCTTGAAAAATTAGAATTCGCCTGAATTTCCAGTGAGACCTGCCATTTGAGAAGCGCCTCGGGCGTAAAAAGAGACTAAAATGTACGGGAAATATTTGTGGTTTCGAAAATCTGTGTTTCAGAAAAACTTGTTCACTTCGGAGTAACAGGATGGAACGACTTGAATGCAATTCGAAGAGGATAAGTAATTTTAATAGTCGTTTAAAGATGTGAGGTGGCGTACCGCCATCTTATTTAAGCCTCCCTGCACCGCAAGGGCTGTCGAAGATGGCGATGCTCCACCTCACATTTTTAAATGGTTCTAAAAATTTCTTATCGCCTTCAAATCTCTTCCACATTGCTTTACCTTATTCCTACGAAATGAACTATTTTTTTGAACCATCATTCACCTCCTTTGTCTGTAATTTGGCTGAGATATTAGTCGAGTGAAGTTTTTCTCTTGATAATCCATGATTTTTTCTTCACTTCACAACCCGCCTATTCTCCACATAAACTGCTGAACAACTCCTCCCCGCTCCTCATTTATTCCTTCCTTTTGTGTTATTTATTTTTAAATCCGGAAAGGCGCGTGAGGCGTCAGTGAGTCTCTTGGGTCGTACGAGACAGACGCTTGATTGCAATGTTGTGGGATATATACTTGCTACAATGAGGCGTCACCGAGAGCTGGAGGTAGTGGAAGGGGAGAATAATGAGGGTGGTTTGAGAGGGGCACGATTGTGGGGATATCCTTGATACTACCATCGCGTGTACAAATCTATCGGGGGGGGGGGGGGGCTTTTTGAGGGTGAATTCAAGGGAGACATCGTCTACACGAGAGACAAACCATCATCTCGATTTTTTTCTGTCATTTTTCATATTAACGACGAATTCACGTGGATCGGGCCAATATCACCAAATATCCGTCCTTTTAATATTATTTTAATCCGTCCAATAAATATTCTGGGGATTCTCTCTCCGTTGATTCGACAGACATTGTTGAGTATTAGTTTCAAATATTAATTACCGAATTAAAACAACGAATAATTATCTGTAATGAAGGAATTGCTGGAAATGGCAGTTGTAATTGATAAATGTGAATAATTTGAGCTGTTTTAATAGTCAGCATAATTTCACTGGACTTTATAATGCGTGCAAATGAGGATCGTTGAAGGGGGGGTGGGGGTGGGGTACTATTCTGGAAAATTCAAATAGCATTGAGTCTACTTGCGTTCAATGTGTCCATTGCTCCCCGCGGGGGATTATTACGACGCTTACGTGTACGTTTCATATATTGTGCATGCACGAGTGCAGATTCTCCTGCATAAATTAACTCTGACACTCGCGGTGCATAATGCAACCGTGTGCCAACTGCTGTATTGTTGGTATTTGTTTGTGTCACTCGGTGCACATATGAAAAATAAAAATGGCTTTTGTTATACAGACATTATGCTTTTATTTAGAAAAAATTATTTGACATTTGCATACTATTTCTGGGGATTTTACACGGAAATTTACACCGGGAGAATAAATTTCTCATTTTTTCGGGACAATAGGGCACTGCTATCAGTTCAAATGCAACCATTCCGGGTTTCAGTTCGAGGGTATTGGTTTTTTAATAGTCTCGAAATTGTAGTTTAGCTATTGTTCGGGTGGACAATTATTGCTGTGAATAATGGACATGAGAGGCTAATGGAAAATTCATAATTGTATCAACTTCAAAAGAACGAGCGTGTAGAGTAACTCAATTCATGTTATACACGAAAACAAATGTAAGTGAAAAACAAACAAATCAATGAATTCCGTAAACGTCAGAAATAAAACAATTATTGCGCAGGAAGTGACACTTGAGGTGTGAGTTTAAAAATGCGTGTTTATTCATAAACGTCAATTGCGAAATGGGGAGTACACGGATGTAAACAATTCTAGGGCCGATGTAAAGTGTTCTAGTGATACGCGATCTCCGGATGAATTTGCAGAATCATTATTTGAAACAGTCACAAACCGTACCAAATACTCCAATATATATTCATTTTCACATGTATACCTTTTGGGTATTTACATTTTGTTGACTTCTCGATTCGATGATTCCGAAACAAGTGAAATGGTGCACCATAACACGAGTCAAATATCTCATTTCTCCTTCTGACTTCGTCGGAGTTGATATATTATATATTATATATATTATGTAATACATGCAATACTCTAATAATTTCTAAAAATAATAATCGATTTT